GATTAAGTTACCATGCAATTCCCCCAAACACCAAATTAATCTGTAATATACCTATAGTACTACTGGGGGCCCTGGTGGCACAGTGGTTAAGCATTTGGCTGCTAACCAAAAGGTCGGCAGTTCAAATCTACCAGCCGCTCCTTGGAAACCCTATGGGGCAGTTCTACTCTGTCCTGTAGGATTGCTCTAAGTTGGAATTGACTCGACGGTAACAGGTTGTGCTTTTTTTTTTTTTTAACAGTATTACTAAATCTATTTCAGTATCATATAATCAAATTCAAATATTTTTTTCCTATAAAAAAATGTATTACAAGTTCCTACTATGGGAACCAGAAATACACCTTACTTTTTGGTTTTTGCTTTTTTAAGTTGCAGGAAAACAAACAGCAATAGTATCAGGGCTCTAACAGGAAAACCTCAATATGGACTTGTGTAAGGGATTCTAAAACTGGGGTACCTGGTACTTCTGAGGGGGGCCAGCTTAGGTTTATGCCCAACTTCATCTTGTGTCCTTTAAGACTCTGTTTTGCCTGTTCTGACTTCCCCTTAGGAACAGTTAACCTCTGTACAGACTTAATCATGCAGCTAAGGAAATGTTTTTCTATTATAAAGCCAAAAGGAATGTCAGCAGAATGCTCCCTGGGGGTCCTTGCTCAAATACTTATCAAAACCCTTTGTGTAAGATGTCCTCATGAAATCATTTTGTCTTAAGCCAGTTAGTTATTTTAACAATCCACTCTCAGAAAATCTAATCCGCAATCAGTTCCTCCTTTAACCAGATGGCCAACCTTTACATTCCAGGGAACTTCAAGCTGGAGCTGATCTGGTCTACTATCAATTATTAATCTCTACCCCACAACACACTATTGGCACATACCTGTGCAATTACGCACAGTGTCTGAAAACCAACCCTAGAGAAAGCCCCACTTCAAGATGTACCACCTCCCACTTCCTAATTGCTTAGCAGCCAATCAGAATATTGTAACCTAAGCTCCTAGTTTAGCCCTATAATTATCCCTGCAGGACTGCTCCTCCTCAGAGCACTGGATTTTCACCCTGTGAGGTCCATGTTCCCTGGCTTGAGGTGTTTTTCACTTTCAATACATCTCTTACTTTACTTTTAAGCAGACTCTGTGTTGTTACTCTATGACATGTCTTTGGCATAGTCAGCAGGATTCAAAGGAGCATCATCATCTCTGTTTCCCAGAATCGTGGATCAGCGCTCCTGGTACCAAGCACATGCCCTTTGCACCCACCCATTTCCTTGAACTCTTGGGGTTCACTGGAGGTAAGCCTTCTCGAATTTGAGCCTCTGCTGTATTGGGAAGATGGCTCTTTGAGAGATTTATTGTCAGCTTCTTTGTCTTGTTTTGTTTTCGACTCACTTCTTGAGCACCATGTTGGGTTCGTTGCCATATTAAGTTTGGTAAGGATGACATCGAGAGGTCAGCTTGCTTACTGAACTCTCCTTCTTTCTCCTTGATGCACCATAAAGGTTTTCCACGTACTTAAAGTTTTAAACTTGCAACTTTCTCAGTAAGATGAGGAATGCCACATTGAAAGACCACTCCAGACCCCCGTCAGGAACTCTGGCAGCTTACGTGGTTAAGCATTATGACTCTGGTTTAATTTTGTACGTCAACTGCTGGCACGCGCTTACTAAAGGAAATTTAGAGAACTAATGGCTATTATAGGGCTTAATTGGTTTAAACAAGCTAACTTTTTTGTACAGTAAATTAGAAGCCAAAGACTCCTGAATAAAACAAAAGCAATGGGAACTCTTTTATAATTGGTATTTAGAATCTTCTAGGAAAAAATCAAAATCACAAATTGGCCTCCCTGCAGAAATCCATGTCCAAACAGGCGAAACAAATTAAAGAATTACAATGTCAAAGCTCTATAACTTCGCTGGCTACCTACCCAGCAACAACCACTTCACTTTCCCTTCCCCAAACGAGCAGAGCCCTGGCATCAGGCCTCTCACACCCAGCCCCCTCCATCACTCTTGGCCCTGCCAGCAACCACTCCTCTTCATCCACCTTTACCATCCTACATCTTCGAGAATACCTTATTTGGATTCCCATACTATCCTAAAGACCTACAGAAGAAGAAAACCTTGTTTCTGAAATGCCTTTCAACATTAGATATCAGAAACAGCCTAAGAAACTTCCCCATGTTAAATTTACCCCTTGCTCCAAAGCAGAACTTCGCACCGTTGCGAAAGAATTGCCAATACTTGCAAAGATCCCCAAAAGCTCACCCAAGAATTCAGAACTCTAGTTGAAACTTATTAACCTAGTCCGGCAGACTTACATAATTTAATAAATATGGTAGTTGGACCAGGTGATGCCCAAAAGTGGATGGAAAAGGCTAAATTGAAAAACGAAGCAGAATCCTTAGCCATCAGGGCTAACGTTTCTGGTATACCATGTTATTAGACCAAAGTAAAGCAATTATCACTAATCTTATTGAGGCCATCCCTAAGGTTTTTCCCCATAAAATAGACTGCACCAAAGTTCAAAGATGAAAATATTTATGATTACAGAGATCATTTAAAAATTTCCAGTAACACTCTGGCCTGAAATTAGAAGACCTGTACTGTTTTCAATTCTATCTTTGTTAATGGGCTCCACCCAAGCTTGCCAATCAAGTCAAACGTCACAAGTTAGATTAGGAAAATGTTTCCCACCCTGAATTAACTAACTTAGCCTACAAATTGGCTCAAACTCTAGAAGAAAAAAGGCAAAGAGACAGAACAAAAGACTACAGCCAGGCAAAATAAACTTATGGCCTTGCAATTGCAGCAATTGCAAACCAAGCTAAGGGAAAAGCTCCCTTATCAGAAAAGGGCTCCTAAAATCAATAATGGAGATTTGGCGGCATACTGGTTAAGAGCACGGCTGCTGATAAAGTCACTATGTGAAATAATTGGCTGAAAGTCCCTAGATCTTTTAATACGAACTACTTTCTTAAAGGTTTGTGCCAAGTGATGATACCACACTCAAGAAGCACACTCAAGCATTATCATTTTTTTCCTATGGTCTCTTTCTCTTCCGTTTCCCTCCGATGATGGGCGTACCAAGGACAAAGATAGAATCTAAAGCACTGTATGGAGCCATGCTATCCAGCCCGACTCACCAAGGTGTTTACTTAAACAATCTAAAACACATAGGTTTTCATCTTATTAACTGGGGAACTGAAAGTATTAAATCACTGATACAGATATCACATTTCTGAGCACATGCTCCCCCACTGAAAAAGAAGTAACAGAGTACAAGTACTGTTTGCTGGGTTTGCAGGGGTTTGCGAAGATGTATAAGTTACAATTTTCTACCTTCAAAAACTTGGTATTTTTGTAGGAATATAAAATGGTACCACCAGTTTGGAAATCACCGACACTTCCTTAAAAAACCAGAAATAGAAGTACCATAGGATCCAACAATCCTACTCCTTAGAATATACCCTAGAGAAATAAGAGCCGTCACACAGATATATGCATACCCATGTTCACGGCAGCACTATGCACTACAGCAAAAAGATGAAAGCAACCAGGAGCCCATCAACAGAAGAATGGACAAACAAATTATGGTACATATACACAATGGAATACTACACGATAAAGAACATGATGAATCCGAGAAACATCTCATAACGTGGATGAATTTGGAAGGCATTATGCTGAGTGAAATTAGTTGAAAAAGGACAAATACTGAATGAGACCACTATCATAAGAACTCAAGAAAAGGTTTAAACACAGAAGAAAACATTCTTTGATGGCTATGAGGGTGGGGAGGGAGAGAGAGGGGAATTCACTAACTAGATAGTAGACAAGAATAATCTTAGGTGAAGAGAAGGACAATACACACTACAGGGGAAGTTAGCACAACTGGATTAAATCAAAAGCTACAAAGTTTTCAAAACACAACCAAACACTCTGAGGGACAGAGCAGCTGGGGCTGGGGTCTGGGAACCATGGTTTCAGGGGACATCTAGGTCAACTGGCATAACAAAGTTTATTAAGAAAATATTCTGCATCCCACTTTGGTGAGTGGAGTCTGGGGTCTTAAAAGTATATAAGCGGCCACCTAAGATGCATCAATTGGTCCTAACCCATTTGGAGCAAAGGCAGATGAAGAACACCAAAGACACAAGGAAAATATTAGTCCAAGAGACAAAAGGGCCACATAAACCAGAGACTCCATCAGCCTGAAACCAGAAGAATGAGATGGTGCCCGGCTACTACCAATGACCACCCTGACAGAGAACACAAAAGAAAGTCCTCGATGAAGCAGGAGAAAAGTGTGCAGCAGAACTCAAATTCACATAAAAAGACCAGACTTAATGGTCTGACTGAGACTGGAGGAGCCCCTGAAGCCATGGCCCATGAAGCTCTGTTAACTCAGAACTAAAACCATTCCTGAAGCCCATTCTTCAGACAAAGATCAGACTGGACTATAAAACATAAAATAATACTTGTGAAGAGTGTGCTTTTTAATTCAAGCAGATATATGAGACCAAAAGGGTGGCTACTGTGCAGAAGCCGGATGAGAAGGAAGGAAGGGACAGGAGCTGACTGGAAGAACACAAAAACACGCAATGGAAAAGGGTAGTGTGCTGTCACATTATAGGGATTCCAACCAGGGTCACTAACAATATGCATACAAATTTTTGTATGAGAAATTAACTTCAGCTGTAAACTTCCACCTAAATTACAATTTAAAAAAAAGAAAAAGAAAAAAAATAAAATAAAGAGCATTAACTAAGATTAAAAAAAAGAGCCTGGCTGCTAATCAAAAGGTCGGTAGTTCAAATCCACCAGCTACTTCTTGGAAACCTTCTGGAGCAGTTCTACTCTGTCTATAGGGTCGGTATGTGTAGGAATCAAATCAACAACGACAGTTTTTTGGTGATGTTGTTGTTGTTGTTGTTAAACAATAATGTGCCTGGGACTAACATTTGCTTTTACTGCAAAGAGCGTGGACATTTTCAAAAGAAATGCAGTGCTCCCTTCAGTAGCACATATACTAAAATTGGAATGATATAGAGAAGATTAGTATGGCTCATGCACAAGGATGACACGCACATTCGTGAAGCATTCCATATTTTTGCTGCAAGAATCCACAGAGATACAGCAAACAGAAATCTAAAAGATTAACAATGAAATTTCAGAATTAGACAACTCAATAGAAACTAACAGGAGCAGAATTGAGGCAATGGAAGCCACAATCAGTGAGACTGAAGATTAAGCACTTGACACCAACTGATTGGATGAAATATCGGTTAAAAGAATTTTAAAAAATAAAGAAATTCTAAGAATTACTGGGACTCTATCAAGAGGAATAATCTACAAGTGATTGGAATACCAGAACAGGAGGGGATAACAGAAAATACAGAGAGAATTGTTGAAGATTTGTTGACAGAAAACTTCCCTGATATTGTGAAAGATGAGAAGATATCTATCCAAGATGCTCATCGAACCCCACGTAAAGTAGATCCCAAAAGAAAGTCATCAAGACATATTATAATCAAACCTGTGAAAATCAAAGATAAAGAGAGAATTTTAAGAGCAGCTAGGGATACACAAAAAGTCATCTACAAAAGAGAGTCAATAGGAATAAGCGCAGACTACTCAGAAGAAATCATGCAGGCAACAAGGCAATGGGATAACATATAAAAAGCCTTGAAGGAAAAAAATTGCCAGCCAAAAATTATATATCCAGAAAAACTGTCTCTCAGATATAATGGCAAAATTAGGGTATTTCTAGATAAACAGAAGTTTAGTAAATCTGTAAAAACCAAACCAAAAGTAAAAGAAATACTAAAGGGAGCCCTCCAGTTAGAAAATCAATAACATCAGATAACAACCCAAGACTAGAACAAAGGACAGAACAATCAGATATCAACCCAGAGAGGCAAGTCACACAAATAAATAAAAGCTAAAACACTGAAAATAGACAGAGACATCAATAAATAAAAGATGACAACATTAAAACAGAAAAGAGGGACTAAATAATGTAGTCACAGATCTTTCATACGGAGAGGAAGACAAGGCAATATAAAGAAATAAAAGATTGATTTAAACTAAGAAAATATGGGTAAACAATAAGGTAACCACAAAGGAAGCTAACAATCCTACACATCAAAATAAAAAAGAAGAAAAACATAGACTCAGCAAATACAAAATCAACAACAATGAAAAAGATGAAAAGAAAATACATAAAGAAAAATGACTCAGCACAAAAAAACTCAGAAAATTAAGTAGAACAAAGAAACTGTCAACAACACACACAAAAAAAGACATCAAAATGACAGCACTAAACTCTTACCTATCAATAATTACACTGAATGTAAATGGACTAAATGCACAAATAAAAAGACAGAGAGTGGCAGAATGAATAAAAAAATGCAATCTGTCTTTATGATGCCTATACCTCAGACTTAAAAGACACAAACAAACTAAAACTCAAAAGGATGGGAAAAAATATATCAAGCAAACAACAATCAAAAAAGAGCAGGAGTGGCAATATTAATCTCTGACAAAATAAACTTTAAAGTAAAATCCACCACAAAGGATAAGGAAGGACACTACATAATGATTAAATGGTCAATACATCAGGAAGCCATAACCACAATAAATATTTATGCACCCAACGATAGGGCTCCAAAATACGTAAAACAAACTCTAACAGCATTGAAAAAAGAAATAGATAGCTCCGTAATAATTGTAGGAGACTTCAACACACCACTTTCAGTGAAGGACAGAACATCCAGAAAGAAGCTCAATAAAGATATGGAAGATCTAAATGCCAAAATCCACCAACTTGATCTTACAGATAGAACGCTCCACCCAACAGCAGCCAATTATACTTTATTTTCCAATGCACATGGAACATCCAGAACGGACCACATATTAGGCCACAAAGCAAGACTTAACAGAATCCAAACAATCGAAATATTACAAAGCATCTTTTCTGACCATAAAGCCATAACAGGAGAAAGGAAAAAAAAAATCAAATACATGGAAACTCAAAAACACCTTACTCAAAAACTACTGTGTTATAAAAGAAATTAACAACGGAATAAAGAAATTCACAGAATCAAATGAGAGTGAAAACATCCTACCAGAACCTTTGGGACACAGAAAAAGCAGGGCTCAGGGGTCAATTTATACCAATAAATGCACACATCCAAAAGGAAGAAAGGGACAAAATCAAAACATTAACCCAAAAACTCGAACAGCAAGAAAGACAGCAGCAAAAGAAGCCCTTGGATACCAGAAGAAAGCAAATAATAAAAATTAGGGCAGAATTAAATGAAATGGAGAATAGAAAAACAATTGAAACACTTAACAAGACCAAAAGCTGGTTCTTTGAAAAGATCAACAAAACTGATAAACCACAGGCCAAACTGACAAAAGAAAAACAGGAGAGGAAATAAATAACCCAAATAAGAAATGAGATGGTCGATATCACAGCATACCCAACTGAAATTACAAGAATTATAACAGAATACGATGAAAAACTATACTCCAACAAATTTAAAAACCTAGAAGAAATGGACAAATTTCTAGAAACACACTATCTACCTAAACTAACACAAACAGATGTAGAACAACTAAATAATCTTATAACAAAAAAAAGAGATTGAAAAGGTAACTTAAAAACTCCCAAAAATAAAGTCCTAGCCCTGACAGTTTCACTGAAGACTTCTACCAAACTTTCAGAGAAGAGTTAACACTACTACTACTAAAGGTATTTCAGAACGTAGAAAAGGATGGAATACTCCCAAACTCATTCTATGAAGCCAGCACAACCCTGATACCAAAACCAGGTAAAGACACCACAAAAAAAGAAAATTACA